TATTATTCATTCATTTAATTTTCATTTATATGGGGACAAGTTTGTGCACCAATGCCACATCCACAGTGTTTACAGCCAAAGCTAATTTGCAATGCCCCCAGATGAGCCTTTAAAATACATACAACTACATAAATGATACCCTAATATTTTATGAGTATGGAATTAAACTAATTTGAAAATTAGATTTGGGATGAAAACATGCCTTTGAATATATAAATAATTCAGTTTTATTCTCAAATGAAAATACCCTTTCTTGACCAGGACACTGGGATTCACATGCACACAGTGCAGCTTTGGCCCTTCAGCCCCTGCAGGCAGTTTATCACTCTGACCTGTGGGGGTGGCTTTCACAGCCGCTGTTGCCTCTTGCATCAGTTTGAGTGCGGGTGATCATTTGCTACAAGTGGAGAGCAGCATTGACCTCTATTTTCTGAAAGACCCTCGCATAGAAATGACGCCATTACTTCTCCCTTACTCTTCCATTACAAATCAACTGGAGGTGACCATACGAGCATTTGCTGCAAATCAGTGTATACGGGAAATTACCCAAAAAATGATATTATATCGCAAAGCAGATGTATTGTATTTTCGCTTTTACGTCACTATATTTTGCACAATAGTAGTTACACAAAAGTATTAGCTGTCGGAAGGCATCGTGGCTGCGAACTTGAAAACAGTTTGACTGGTGGCCATGCACGTTTGGCCGTGTTTCATCTTTGTTTATTAAATTTAAAGTTAAGCCGCTTTTCTCGCCTTAATTCCTCACGCAGAGATCTGAGCTGTTGTGAGGGAAGGCATCTTGTTTCTGGCTCACAGAGCAATGCAGCTAAAAAAAAAGAGGCTGCAATAGTGAAGGCAGGAAAGACAAAATTGAAGAATTCCCTTTAAAGACTTTAAATCCCTATCTTTCTCAAATCTCTGCATCTATAGTTCTGTTCAGTAAGTCATAAACACACAAGGGCATCCGACAGGTGACCCGGACTCTTATCCTTCAGAAACAGCAGCACATTCTTACTTAGACAACTTAAAGAAATGTTATTTTTGGAGTCCTCACAAAAAGACTGAATGTACTTTGTCCCTGCAACATATTCATACTTGATGACCCCCAACCTGAGAGTCACGTATCACAGAGAACGAGAAACACACTGGATGCCAGGACGCAGCGTGTTCACACCTATATACATACGATGTAAACACTTTTAAACAGTCAAGATTACAAATAAAAAGACAACATTAGTGACTTTTACAGACATGGATGAAACCATCATTTTCATGGGAGCTGTAGTTTTGTTTTGTTTTGTTTTTTTTTGTGATCAAAAAAGGTTTCAGTTTCTAAAGAACATGTTTCATTTTCTACATAAATAGCGGTGAAAGAAACTTTCAGTGGTTTCTGCAAATACTGAGTGTTTAAAACATTCAATTAACTATGACATTTTTTGAAATTTTAGAATTGGCCCTGAAGTGCAAAACACATCATTTAAAAACCAGAAAAACACACCAGTGTTAGAGAAAACATGTCATTTAAGAAAACATGTCAACATCCATCCGTATGTCAGTGCATTTCAGTTGAGCTTCTTCTGTTGAAAATTATTTCCAAACTTTGGAATAAATCGAATAAAATGGCTGGCAGAAAGACTACAAGTAAACAAGCATGTAACATATCAATCCAACCTCAAACTGTCAGGCTGCTGCTAAGCACTTTAGAGTAATACTCCTTATCGGATGAAAGTCTGATGTTTATGGATTTCAGTCTTTCACACTAAGAGTTTTTGCTGGCATCCCTGAAAATGGCGCTTTAATAAAATCTTTATCCTTGGAAATGTTGTGTATCTTGAAACATGGCACTCCTAAATACTTTGGACAGTCCTTCAAATGAAAAAGATTTCTATTAGTTTTCGATTTAGGAGCAAACGCCGGCACTTCAACTTCGTTATTGGTGATTTTATGTTGAAAATATTGGTATGTGAACCAGTTTTGCGGTTGATTGTTTCACCGTCATCAATACAAGAGACAAGGGCTTCATGTGATGTGAAAATGCAAACATAGATATGAAAGCTGAAGGCCACAGCAGTCTGATGATGACAAAGAAGTGAGGTATGGCTTAAAGAAAGTATTCTTTTTCTCGTCTGGTGTATGTGAACGCCCCAGGGGAGCCGGAGAGGTGTTGTTTACCACCCCTGAATCTGTGGCTTCAGCAGCCAAATTAACTCGGATAAACTTTCAAAAGGTGAGATACAAAACAGTAGCCTGTGGCGGTGAGAAAATATTGATCCAGTCTACAAGTTTCAACTCCCACATCCCTGGATTCACAAAAACGCAAAGTGTTTTAATTAGAGTTCTCTTTGCCACAAGCTCCTCTCTCTGGCTGACTTTCTGTTCCTCTCTGTGCTTTGACTTGCTGCCAATCTCCTTTTGTCTGCAGTCTCAGCTCCAAGTCAAGAACAAAGTCACCAACATGAGAGTCATTTGGGTGGTGACACAGTGACAGCCTCTGATGTGGCGCGTTTTTTTGTTTTTTGTTGTTGTTGTTGTTGTTGTGTTGGCTCGGAGCTCCTGCACGCCGGATTTGAAATCAAACAGTGACTATGAGGTGAAAGTGTTGACTTTCGGCTTTAATTTGAGGGAGTTTTTCAGCCGTAATGGGGAGGCACTGTTGGATCGTCCTGTTCTGCAGTGACTAGTATCGCGATTCCTTCCATAGATTTCAACATTCAACCATCCCTAAACCCCTTACAACCTCAAAACCTCACTGCCATTGTTTAAAACAGAAGAAAATGTCCACATACTTGTGTCACTGTCCAAATACTAATGGCCTGATCTCTATGTTGGTAGACCAACATTAGAGAAAGCCTTCCATAATAAACTGCTGGCATGGAGTTTGAAAGATATTGACATTTACTAAGCAGAAACAGTGAAATGAAAGAAGCAATTGAGCTGCATTGTGGGAAATGTCGGATCTAGCATATCAGAAGCTTGATCCTTACAAGGGATTAAAAACAAGGATAGTGTATCTTGGCCTCTGCTGCACGGATTTCTTTTGGTTTAATCTGTTTTGTGCAGCTGTTCTAACTTTATGAAAGCACTAAAATCGCTGGAGTATGAGTCAGACTGAGACTCGTGGCACTGGTCTCTCCTCAGAGGTAACTGTGCAATTGACGAACAAAGTGACTCATGTACAGAATCACAAGCGTTTATTTGACATTTCTGTTCTGTATTCACTCCCTCTACTTCGTGCTTTACAAACAGTGCAGTGGTTTGTGAAAGTTTGGTGAGGAATCAACTGGATGCCGTCCAAAACAGAAACATTTATTTGTATTTTAAAATACCCATGAGACACTTTGGCCTTGGTAAGCACGCTCTTGACTTGATTTGCTCCGAAGTAACCGTGGCTCAGTATCTCTCATCTCTCATTCTGACTTGTTGATTGTAAGTTACCTTTCAAAAAGAGACCAGGGTTATGACTGCAGTCAAAAGATTTGCAGGACAATTACCTTTTTTTTTTTCTTTTTTTTTGTTATTATTTTTGGCGACATTATTACTGGGCTTGTGCACAAGAATGGGGGTAACCCTCTTTGAAAGGTTAAAGATTTTTTTTTTACTCTAGCTGTGCTCTCTAAATGAACCTTTATCTCAAATAAACAGTATGTAGGTAGGAACATGGAAACAGCATTCAGCTCACATTTACTTTATGTTGTGCCCCACAGGAGGGAGGGAACAGGCAAGAGGAAGCTCTGGCAGCATTCACTCCGTGCTCAATTTTGAGAAGCCATCTCCGGGTTGCTCGCACCTTCACGTTATGGCCTCATCCGCCCTTTTTAACTCGCAGGCTACTGATCACCCGTACGAGAGCTCTCTTAAATAGGAAAGTTCATTCATTCTCACTCTTCCACCGCTGATTACTCCTGGCGAGGTCTGACCTCCGGCTGTCAACACCGATCCTACAGTGGATGTTCAGTTTGTTCGACCCCGGGATCACTAAAGGGCGCAACTCCATTCAGCTGAGCCCCCCCCCCCCCCCCCGGAGCCTCTCCTTACTGCGCTGCCTTCATTTTCTCATTACTCTCAATTGAAAGCAGGCCCCACTGCTTGTTCCCGTCTGAGCTGGGAGCTTGATTTGTTTTAGAGCGCAGTGTGCTGGCTCCTCTCAGAGAACATTTTTTAAAGTTCTTCTTTTTTTTTTTTGCTGAAAAATACTTCCTTCGTCTCCCATGTGAATCTGTTTAGTGCTACGGAATAAGAGTCCATTCACATACCTCGCGCTGTGGTGCGGTACAACATCGGTGAAAAGAGTACCCTAACCTCTGCACCTGTGGAAGCAGAGATGTTGACAGCCGGCACATGATGGAGAAGGCAGTGCAGGGTGTGAGGGAGAACACCCACGAAATACTCACAGTGCTGTATTCTTTCAGCCCTTAAACAGAGGAAGCTGCAGATCGTCTGATATTACAAATAAATCAACCAAGTAAAGCCTTCCCCACTTGTTTCGAGCCCTACAGATCTCCTTTCAGTCTTTAAAACTTTTATTCTATTTGCTGAATATAGAAAAAGCTGAGATTGATTTATTTTGAAGGAGATTTGGTGGATTCAAGCTAATAATTGAGATCCTCCACTGAGGATTGCTTGGATTTGAGGCGTTGTGGATTAGGACTTATCTACGTGTTGGAAACTATCCAGGTGGCTCCAGAGGAATTCATTGACCTTCCAGCGGTTCTGAAAGTAACCGTGGTAAAAAGTTTTCTGGAGCGAGTGTGCTTTTGTGCGGTAGTGTAAGTGCCCCACCCCCCCCTTCACTCAGAGGTCAGGCCTCATCTGACCTGCGGGCACATCCTTCAGCGAGCTGATGAATCCCTACCAGCTATAGCGATGCTGCGATACACCTGATGCTGACCTTTGTCTTGTGCATCAACCGGCGTATGAATCCAAATTGCTAACAGTGTTTTGTTTTTTTTTCTCCATGTTGTGTCTCTGTGTGTGTCTGCGTGTGTGTTTCACTGCCTTAGCAGAATCCCTGTTCAGCGGCCTGGGGCTGGGGGCGGTGGTGGGCCTGGGCCTGGGAGCGCTGCTGCTGCTCCTCGTGCTGGTGGACATCAGCTGCTTCTTCCTGCGTCACTGCGGCCTGCTGATGTGCATCACGCGCACGCTATGCAGCAAGAAGACAGCCACCAGCGGCAAGGGCAAAGAAATGGAGGAGGGCAAGGCCGCCTACCTGTGAGTTTTTTTCATTTTTATATTGTTCTTCTTTTTTCTTCTTTCTTTTTAACAAAAAAAAACTTTAACTCCTTTGATTTCTACGCTACAAGTATCGATATATGTCAGTCACCAGGTCATTCATGCTTGCTGAGGGAGCATCTGCTGTGGGTGTATCTTGATGCTTGTGCGTCACTCTGGCAACTGATTTTTTTTTTTTTGCTGTATAACAATGAACTGAGAGACCTAAATAAATATTAGGTAAATTTATGACAAGAAATGAGGTCCAACAGTTTTATAACCAGCTTTGGAGAGAGAGAAAAAAAATGACCCTGGTTTAGCGATCAAGGATTGACTTTTTGACCTTTTTAAAAAAAGGGTCACAAATTGATAAGTTTTTCTTTTTTTGTCCCCGTTGACATTTTTATTAAATCTCACCTTTCAAATATTTATGAATAGAGCTCATGTCATGTACAGCCCAGAATCCTCTTTCTGTGAATGAGAAAAACATTTTACATTTACCATAGGTACACCTACAACAGCCGCCCAACCGCCTTTTCAACCACAGTATGTCTTTGATTATGTCTTATTCACTAACGTCAGTGGCGTCCATACGATGTGCAGTGAGTTCTTTTGCATGCAGTGTGTGTGTGTNCACCACCACCACCACTCCATGAAATTTACAAGTACAATCGATTTTCAACATTTAGCCCGCAGAGTCTGATTCATTCGCCTCAGCGGTGCCATTTTTGTTTTAAAACTGTCAGAGTGCCAGCTCGGTGTCTGGGCTGCAGAGAGAGAGAGAGAGAGANGCATTCACGTCACGTGCTATCATGGTTTGTGTGCGTACACCTCTGTGATCACATAACGTGTGCATGCAAACAGTCTGTGTGTGACCCGACGGCGGTCTCGTACAGTGTGATCGCTGCATGATGCCCCACCCCACCCACCCACCACCACCACCACCACTCCATGAAATTTACAAGTACAATCGATTTTCAACATTTAGCCCGCAGAGTCTGATTCATTCGCCTCAGCGGTGCCATTTTTGTTTTAAAACTGTCAGAGTGCCAGCTCGGTGTCTGGGCTGCAGAGAGAGAGAGAGAGAGAGGGCACAGAGAAAGAGAGGAGGAGGAAGAGGGAGGGGAGGGTTCGACTTTTGCTGAGTCACTAAGCTCACAGTGCCGGAGGGCTGAGTGACGGGCCTGAGCAGACAGCAGCAGAATCTGCCCTCAGCTTCTCTGTACGAGCCGGCGCCGCAGCTGCAACTCACGCAGGCGTTTACAGGCTCTACGTTACTACGACAACATCTTTATGGCTCTATTAGACCTGATACCTTAGTCCAGTCACATCACACACACAAAGCAGTGTCACCGATTTTAGAAAGATGTTGTTGGGGATGTTTACGCCTTTATTTGACAGTAAGAGGAGAGAGATGACAGAAAATAAGGGGAGCACAGGAGAAAGAGAGACAACAACATGCCCAAAATATTTTAAAGCATACTTCTGTTTTATTTATTAGCAATACGATAAAGTTTGTTATTATGCTAGTAACAACATTATATATACCAAATTAAAGGGATACTCCAGTTACTCAGTATGAATTTTAAAAAGTCAGTGCAGCTGAGGCCAAGATCTGCAAACTTATAAACAAATACTACCCTATCCTACGTTTCCCATAATGCTCAACAAATGGCTTTAGCTTTCAACCTCTGTACCCGAGGGTTATACATTTGTTGTCCCAGCCCATAACTTCATGCGTATAACTGTCGCGAATGTCCCTGTAATTGTCAAGTTCAGACAAAGCAATAAAACCAGCAGTCAGACCAGCGTGGACGCGCTCAGTGGCCCGTGTGCAATATCACCTCAGGATATGTGAGTTTGAAGATGCAGGGATATGAAACTTTACCACAAGCTACCAGCTATGATGGAACCAGTTGCACCAGCGTTGTAACTGGTTTCCCTCCATCTCCAGATCTCTAGAGATAAACTGCAACTTTTCTGATTCTGAGAGGAACGGCGAGGGGAAAACAAGAGGCTTGGTGTTTTATCTCGGAGCTCCCGTGGAGGGACCAAAGTAATGAAGTTGTCTGCTATACAATGACACATAGCACGGAGCTGCGAGTCTAATGAGATAACGTTTGATATAATACAAAGCTCAGACACTCCTGCTGAGTGTGCAAGATGTCAGTAGTGCAAGTCTGAGGGTGCTGAAGGCCAGCAGATCCTGCACTGCAATATCGGTGTTGGGATAAACAGCATTAGGTGGCAGGCCAGAGGCTGTGTGTGTGTGTGTGTGTGTGTGTGTGTGTGTGTGTATGTGTGTGTGTGCAGCTCTGACGCCACAGGTTCCTATTGTCCTGCGTAGGTCATAGGCGGCCTTCACTGGCCCTTTTCTCACCTGGACGTGGAGCTGAGGCTTTAGCAGGGAGCGCCCTCTCATCACTGCAGCGTTAACTTAAAGCCAGGGCGCCGGAGCAGCCCTCGGACAATGAGGGACGTGAGGTCGCCCTTCTTATTAAGAGTCTGTCAAGTTGTGCCGAGATCAGTCGGGAACACGCCGGGGCTTCTAGAGTTTGCCTCGGGAAAAGTTGAAAGACTTGTTCACGGTTGCCCCCGGCGACATTGGAAGTCAATCCTCAGCTTCCAGTTTTAGAGTGTTAAATGTAAGCTCTTTACTGTGAGCGCTGTGTGATGTCAGCGGCCACAGTGGACGGACAGAAAAAGACTCGGACACCTTGAAGCCGGACAGGTTAGCAGAGCTGCGGTCCGTGACTCCATCGCTGCTACTGCTGTCCCCCTGGGCATGACTTGCTATTTATGACTGTGAAATAGCATCACAGTGTTCACTCCTACTCCAGATAATTTTAAAATACACATATTCAAGCAATGAAAAAACGCAGTAAAATTCAACAAATAAATGTTCTGGGAGTAATACTGTCTGTAATTTTGGTCCTGTGCCCACTTTTTTTCTGCATTGCCCCGCTCCCATCCTCTCAGTCAGCGATCCAGGAATGGATTTGTGCACCTGTCCGACTCTTCAGTGACCTCCCTCGCAAAGCACCTCAGGGACAGAATCTTTAAAAAAGCTGCACTCAAAAGATATATAGTACCTTAAAACAATGTTTCAAACTTGAGAGAGAAAAAAAATCTGACCAAACACAGGATGAAATTCTGGCACTGGTGCCGTAATGTGACTGAGGCGATGCAAGGGAGGTCGGTGCTGACGCCAGAGAACAGTTTGACTTCAGGGGTTCAGATTGGAGGCTCAGTGACAGATTTGACTTGGCGCAGACCAAGACTTTTTGAGCGCCGTCACACTCATTGCTCACGGCAGGAAATATAAAACAGAATGTCGGACTGTTTTCGAAGGTTCTGGCGTCCTGCAGCCGTAGGAAGAAAACATTTCTACAACACTGAAGAAAAATCCATTCTATGAGTTGCCATTTAATGAGTTTATTTTGACTTTTTCAGTACCCCTCTCTCTCTCTCTCTCTCTCTCTCGCTCTCTCTCTCTCTCTATCTCTCTCTCTCTCTCTGCGCTAACAATGTATGGAAGGAAAGCAGTATTTTCAAAAAGGAAAGAAGCTCTTTCAGGGCGTAAGCTGCAACTGTTTATTCAACCAAAACTGTCTCAATTCTTCTTGATAAAAGAAGCCTCAGCCTCCAGCAATCATCTGTTTACTCTCTGTACAGACTCCATCCCTATTAGTGTCAGAATACTTGAAATGTAGATAATCCTTAGACCTTAAAATTCATTTTGTTCTTGACTTTTCTACTCATTTGGTCAAGAAATTCCAGTCTTATTTATCTTTCTGACATGATAGCCGAGGTTGTTATTTTACAACCCGAACAATCAAATCTGCAAGTGGAAAAATGAGCGCGGGGTTGTTCATTTTTTACAGTGTAATGAGTGGAAATGAGTTTCTTGTCACAGCAAGATGAGGGTGGTTTTCCCACATGAACGTTAAACATTTTATTTGATGTCGTGTGTTGTAGAAAATGGCATTAAAGGCAGAGTAAATTTAGATGGATCGTTACTACTTTGGTCAGCCATCCCTGATTAGATGCCCTACTTTAATTACTGCTTTCATGTTTTGTGCTCCATTGCATTTCATTATGCCCCCCCCTTTGTCTTTGTCATGCTGGTGAAAAAATAAAAAAAATCACATCAGCACAGTGATACAGAGGCTCTTGATTGTGGAGAGGAGACAGTTTGTGTTATTGACATGCAGAGAACACTTAAGTTTGAAAGCAGCAGGCTCAGACGTCTGACATTTAATTAAGCGCGATTTTACAGTACTCTCCGTAAACTCCACAACAAACCGAATGTCGGTGATCTCGAGAAAGCTAAAAGGCTTTGGAGTGAGCGCACGTGAAACAGACATACATGTAATTGGCCGCGGAAAAGACGACCGGGGCGAGCGAGCCGATTCCTGTGACGCGCGAGGCCGCCGGCCGACGTGGCCATCAGCTGCTTCGTCCTCGTGTCCTTGATCAAGACTTCTGCTCGTGCGCTCACTGTGAGATCCTGGATGACAGCTATGATAAAATATGCTCGAGGAAAATAGAAATGTAAATGTAAAGATTTAGATAAGAGTGTAAACAAACCCCCCTGGGAGGTGGTTTATACCCCGGGCAACCTAATTTATCTCTGTGAAAAGCAGGGATTGTAGTCAGCCTTTGCGGCCCACCGTCGATGGGCCTGCGCTTAATTAACGTCGGCGGAGGAAAGAACAAGTCGCCCCTGCTGTGCTTTGGTGTCACTTGGAAGCTCCCAGATTACAAATAAACATCTGCATACACACTCTGATATCTCCCCCAGCCCACCATGAGGTGCACACAGCTGCTGGCACTCGCAACATAATCAAAGAGGCTTGTCAAGACCCAGCAGCATTTCTGTTTGCTTTGTGTCCCAGACATTGTTTTAAGTGTCTGAGGGCATTGTGGGTGCATACATACATACAGGATATGCACATGAGGCAGTGTGTGTGTGTGTGTGTGTGTGTGTGTGTTGGGGGGGGGGTGAGTCATGGAGAGGTGAAAACAAAAAAGTTAGAACCCATCGGTGCAGTTTCCCTCCACATTTTAAGGAAGGATCCACATCCACGCAACCTTTGGTTTGAACCCGAATTAGCTGTCCACGCGTCCGCTGACGACACAGCTTCACGCCGTTGTTGAAAATATTCATTCAAAGCGAGATGTTTGCACAAAAATCTCTGGCATCACTAAATGAGTCATTTATTTTATTATCCTCTTTCCTCTATTTGCCCAAAGTCATAGTGACACAGGGTAGTTAATAACTCCCAGCTCCTACTTGCATCTGCCAATCCCCAGTGTATTGACTTTTATAACCACAAACTGTATTGAGATACTGGTTCGGAAAATGCACTTGCGATTGCCTCCAGTTGGCGTCCCCCCACTCAAGAAAGTGGAAAAAGAGCAAGTAGCAGGACCTTCCCATATGTTGAGAAAACCTCCACATCTGAGCAATAAGTCCAATCTGGGTTTGCATGAAGCTAATGGGACATGAAATTGGCTTCACTGTGCAGGAACTTTAACATCCACCAATCAACAGAGGGAAAAAGCCCCTCTGGCCAATTGCAACATTTGGGCTTATTAGGTCCAGTATCACGCAGAGATGCTATTTTACATTCATGATCTCATTCACTGAAAATCTCCCTCGGAGTTGTTAAACGTCCAGTGTGGCTATTTGGAGGTGATTTGATGCTGCATTTTCAAATTGACATGGAAATGTTTATACGATAAAAAAAAAAAAAAAAGCAATATTGTGAAACAGCACTGATGCCATCAATGGACCCAAAAAAAACAGGCCTTTAAAGGAAGAAATAACAGAGATATAATTACTGAATTAAATGAATACAACTCTTATCACATCAGTCATGGGCAATATTGAGTGATTCACATCTAATAGTTTATTAAAGGAGGAAAGTTTTAATCCGCCTCCTCTAAATCCTCGTTCAGGGACATTTCATCTCATATATGTCATTGTAGATTATTAGGGATGTAGATTAAGCAAGTTGTTTTGTGTTTTATGGCTAAGATAAGGGAGAACAACTTTTCAGTCAAAGGCACTGATGGATGGAAGGTTTATGTTTCTCCCAACAAGGTGACGTACGAGTCTTGGATGATTAACAGGAGCTTGAAGTACAACAAAATAAGAAGCAGCATAACCCTGTGATCTCAGGAAATGAGTAGCCCTCAGCTAAAGTGTGTTTATACCGGCCTGCTGGTAGACTGATACCGATCATCTCCCAGCCCACGGAGCAAGATCAGGTCTACATCTACTTTTTCTTCCCTTTTTTTTTTTTCCTAAATGTCCTGATAAAATCTGAGACATACACACGGAATGAACAAAATACAAGGTGTGCAGTGATGAGGTGAAACCAGGTAAAAGCCTCTGCTCCTTATTGAGTTCCCTTATTAAATCTATACCAATCCCAAAAGATCCACTGTACAAGAAGGAGATTTTGCAGCTTTGATGTGAAAAAGAGGGCTACAACTCATATTTTCGCACTTTGGCGTTTATTGTTCCCTGTGTGTTTAGGCGTGGGAGCTGCTGAAAGGGCAGCCTTGAGACGTCCCTTGCTGATATTTCAGCACAGCACTTTTATTTCCGAAATGAAACGAGTGAAACGTGTGTCTGTGCGCGCTTCATATTTTTCAAAGTGATTGTGTCTCTGCTGGTTGTCAATAAGTGCTTTTTGGTTAGGTCTTTGTATCTTAGCGGCTGTAGCAAATAAAACGGACCCCGCAGATAACTCCGTTTAAATGTGTGTCCTGCAGACGTACAAATGCATCAGTAAATTACAACTGGGAAGCACCTGTAATAGCTTAGAAGGAAGATTTATTTTTTATTTTTTTAAATAGCTATTGCCTAATTATGGGCCATTTTAAATGCCCAGATGCACTATAACTGTAAGTTAGATGTGCAATACAGATTAGAAATCACCACTATTTAGATCATACTATATAATCACTGTCAATATAATCACTGTCATACCAGTGTATTAACTGGATGAGAATCATTTTTTGTGCCAAATGCAAATGGAAGCTCTCATACATCGTGTTCCTTGAAATACAGGCTGCTAAGATATTCATCATGTGGACACATTAACATAAAGATAGAGCTGTGACATCCCTGTGCTGAATTTCTCTAAACTCACGGAAGATGAAATGAACAAGAGGCAGTCAGCCAATCAAATGGCTCCTGCTTAATAACATATACATGTATGTTCGATTTATTTATTTATTTATTTTTCTCCCTCGATATGAATCACATTTAAAAAAGTAAATGGCAGCTCTGATGTGATGTTATTCAGGTCGACACAGGCGGAAAAAAACTGAGAGCAACAACAACCAGCGGGAGAAGCTGAAAGGAGAGAGGGCAACCACTCACAAAGTGTGTTCACCAAATTAGTCTCGAAAGAAATGTAATTGTTGCCAGGATTATGTTTAATCGCAACATGGCCGTATTAACCTGTTAGAGTGCCTCTTGCCAAAAAGTTGGCTAATGGGCCCCCGTCACCCCCTCCACCCCCACCCTCGCCATCTGTGCATTTTGTACAGACCCTGAGGCCTCCGAGTTCCCATCTGCTGATTTAATATTGCACTTAGTTGTCGAAAAAGTTGGACAAGAATAGTCAAAATTGTAGCAGCAGATGCCGAGATATCCTGACTTTTAATCCTTAGGTCAAGCTCAGAGCATGCTGCATCCTACGTTTCCCATAATGCAACTTAATAGCATCTTTACATCAGACCCTTGCTGCCTAAACACCCGCGTCTTTCGAGCACCCTGCCCCCGGTTTAAAACGCAGGGTTTCTGCTAAAAATGTGTAATATCCAAGCGAAAGCTGAGATAACCCTGATGACATCATAGTGATGTCATCAGGGTTATTTTAGAAAGAAGTCATCATACAGGATTGCCACTGTAAGGTTTTCTCCAGCTTTTGTGCATGTCAGTTAGTTTGTGATGTTACTTTCAGCATTAATGAATATTCACTGACATTCATCTGGATTCAATAATTAAAATCAACTGAAGTAACTAAAATAACAGACTAAGAACTTGGTGCAGTACTGATTGATTGATTGATTGATTGATTGATTGATTGATTGATTGATTGATTTTGCTCTCATCTTACCCAAGTGCTTAAGGTTGACTACATACCACCATAAAACCATTCATTTGTTTGAGTTGCTGCATGTGGATATTGTAGGAGAACAAATGAAATGTGTGGTGGGTGCTTTGATGACGGGATGAAAACCCAAATCACAATTAACATTTTTGTGTCTCAGTACTCTCTCTCTTTTACTGTCTGTGTAAATGTTACATAGTGGTTACTCTGATCATGTTTGGTTGTGGCCGTTCGTGCATTACCTCACCTCTGTCCTCGGCCGACATATATCCACAACACAGGTGGACAAACTGATCACTCTTCCAGGTCAAGTCTCCCAGCATCCAGGCCAAAGAGAGCCAAAAGTATAAATGATATGCCTTTCTGTAACCTTTTGTACAGCCCTGTAGAGGCTGTTATATTTAATATCCCTGCTGCCTTTTCACTTCAATTAAATCCAGCTTTATTAATCCCACTGGGGCCAACACTTTCACCCACCAAAAGGTCTAAAAGGTGATTACTGGTGGGCTCTAAAGCAGGAAAGTACTTATTTTGTGAAAGAAAAAAAAAAAACGAAAAAAAACCATTAAGCCCACACTCTCCTGTGGTAGTAATTCAACTCTAATTGAGCTAGCATTTATATATGTGCCTGCTCCATACAAAAACATCCTCTCGATGGTCACTCTCAAGTCTGTGCCTGTTCAATTGTATTTGTTCTTTAAGTTCCTGTAATTACGAAGCTGCTGAGTGCATCCGCTGCAAATCTCACACCAACTTTTTTTTATTTTTTTTTATTTTTTTCTACCGCAGGAAGCTACCGCTGAAGGAAGAAAATGGAAAAGAGTCTCTCAAGCCGGATACGATTGAAATCAAAGTGCACAGTGACAACAGCATCCACACAAAGCCTGACGACAGCAAAGCGTAAAAGAAAAATATATAATTAAAAAAAAATAAAAAATAAAAAAAAATGGTCGGTCCCCTCGCCACCAAAAGAACATTCGGATCATGAGACCAAAACCCGGAGAAACTACAACACTGGAAAATAGTGGAGTAAAATACCATATCTGTTTATAACAATGCCCCAGTGAAAGGCATATGTAAATACAAATAATAGAGAGAAAATAGAAAGGAAGAAAGGGTCAACCTTTTAGACACCTTGGGTGATAAATGTATCATGTTCTTATAAACATGGCATCAGTGGAAGGCTCTTGTTGATCAATGATTGTAGATTATTTTTTGGCTTTTGTTTGTCTCATTTTTTGTTGTGTGTTTCCTGGTTTTATTGTTTGTTTGTTGGGTTTTTTGTTTTTTGTTTTTTGTTTTTTTTTACAATCCACATAAGACTTTCATGCATCTCCAGCGCCCTCTCCCCTCCGCCCACACACACACACACACACACACACACATATACACACTTCTATGACACAATCACAAATGCAGGCGTGTAAGCTAGTATGCTAGTGTGGCCCTAAGCTCACTCTGCTAATGCTCTTGCTTTTTTTTTTTTTTTTCTGTCAGGGCGAATGCATGGGCCGAGCCAACCGCTGCAGGAATAGCATAGTGATTTAAACCCGATCTGCCTGTTTCCATACCTGAGTGTTACACTGCAGCAACCCCTTTTTATGCCTTTAATAGCCGAGCTAGGTGTCGGGCTAATGAGAGGCAAACACTGTAGTGTTGTGTTTCATGCGAGCTGGCTTCAATAACAAAAGGTGAACCATTCCTAATGAGATTTGAGGCTTCGGGTTCTCGTGAGTTGCATTTGTTCCCGGTAACATTGAAAACTTGTATCAAACAGGACCTAATCATTAATTATTAAGAAAAATTTGGACTTGATTAATGTTGTCTGAAGGGCTGTTGTGGATTATAGTTTGTGTTGCAGGAAAGCAAGCTTAAAAAAAAACAAAAAAAAAAACAAATCTTGACAAAAAGAAAGAATGTGTTGCAGTCTATGGAGTGTACAGTATAATACCACACATGTGCATTGATGTCACTGTTGGCAAAGCCTTTTATATTGACACGGAATATTGTTGACAGTCTTCAGCTGTCTCATGTGCATACATATGTTTTTACTCATCTGTGTTTAAACTGCAGTGTTGCAGGGTCAACCGTACTGGCAGCCAATGTGCGCTTTGGTTGACACCTTGGGAAAAAAAAAAAAAGTTTTGTCCTGAGTGGCGTCCCACAAACGCACTGAATGGTGTCATGTTAATCGTTGCTATTTGTTAAAAGCAGGAAAACGGAACGGGGACAAACAAGTGTGCTGACAAGAAATAGAACAACATGTGTGTCATGTATGTTTTTGATGATATACATCAATTCCTTTATTCATTCCTGTGTCCAATCTGCCTCAGATGCATTTTTTTTTAAACCTTTTATTTTTTTCCTCAGTCTGATCGCTATTGTCTCTGATGTTGTCATGTGTTGTACATAGGTGAAAAAAAAGAATATTTTACAAAGCTTTTATGTAAATATACCCTAAAGGATGTGTCTTTTTTCAAAATGCAACAGGCTTTTTTGTGAACGCTCCTAAGATGAAAAGCTGTTTTCTGTTTTTTTTTTTTTTCTTTTCTTTTCTTTTTTCTTCTTCTTCTTATGTTGGGTTTTGGTCCAAAGTTCAGTGATGGTGTAATATTGCTTTTTCTAGTCATTTGCTTTCCCTTAAGAAAATCCATGCCCTAAGGCTATTTCACAGCATTTCAATGGAGGCAGTAATTACGGCATTAGTGTGCCTTCTCTTTTTCTTTTTTCCTCCTCCCTCGTGGCCCGATGCCGCTGCAGCAGTGTAGACTATCAAATGGGTTTTTGATCGTGGCGTTGCTGCTTTTTTTTTGGTTTGCTACAGAATGTGACAGAAGATTGACTTTTATCGTGATGCTGTGAATTGTGGGAAATGTAGTCGTAGGACAGCGGGTTCAAGTCGACGACACTGGACAAAAACAACTACCTAGTACAACTAGATGTCAGGTTGATGCTGTAAGTCTTGAGTACACAGTACAGTGATGGGCTGCAGAAATCTGGCTTTAATGCCATGCATCATCACATGCGTGTGTGAGTGTGCGTCGGTGTGTGTGTGTGTACGCATACATGTGTGAGCGGGTGATTACACTTGTCTACATGAATCAGGTTGCATGTATGTCTATTGAATGTATCTGCACGTACTGTAAGTGAATCTGTGTGTGTTTGTGAGTGTGTGTGCCCATTTAGATTTTTCACAATAAGAGTCTCCCAATTACAAATAATATACTAAGTAAATGAAAGAGATTAAAAACTCCAAATCTTGGCATATATTTTGTTATAATTTACTTGTTAGTTTTGTTAACTATTTATATTGGATTAAAGTGTGTTACTGAGCACACTTCCAGCGCCATGATGCATTACGCGGCTCTTCAAGTCATATAGGCTGTGATGACCACATGCCAGGTATGAATATCCCGAGTGCTGTGAGCGTACGAGTGTTTCTCTTTGAGTGTGGAGTGAGTTGGCGAGAGCTCTCACGCAGAGTTCCAGAGTGCGCTCTGATAGCTAAAACCTGATTATGTAGTTCTCGACAGTGATTAATTCCCCAGGCTGCAGCACTCCACTGCATGTGACTGCGAGCCCCCACTGCCGCCCCAAATTCCTGCCTCTCAGACTCCATCGGTTTTTATCTCAGACCTCGTAGCGCTGGCTTTGTTTTCTCACCGCGAGCCCTTGTTCCTGTATATCTCAAATGGATGGTCCTGCCATGGAGTGGTTCCGCTGCCTGTTACGATGACTGTAAATATGGGAGCACAGTGCCTGGAGGCTATACGATTTGTACATGTTCTTTTGTATTTGAATATGAGTCTAAATCCCCGAACCACCCCCCACCCCCCCCCACCGCTCGCCTCTCCTCTCCCCTCCCCTCTTGTCCTTCCTCTCTGTCTCCTCCACCATGCCTTTTTCTGTCGGGGGGTAAAACAGGTGTGTTTGAGCTCAGTGTACAGTATGTGTCCTCTTTGTCCCCATGCTCCCTGTGTCCCTTGGACTGTCCCCCGCTGAGTTTGCTTTGTGCAGGAGGTGGGAACTATTGATGTCTCTCTGTACGTACCTGTGGAACACTTGTGACTCCTGTCATTTGCCGCTGTAAATAAACATGTCCTGGTAGAAGAGAGTGAGACGTCGTCATTAATGTGGTTTCATTCTTGTCGTTTCCCTGGCTCTCCGGCTTAAATGTAGCTCAGCTTGAGCTGTAGCTACTAATAAAGGCAATAATATGGTGCAATATTACTAATAACCATCTGAATTATTCATAAAGGACAACTGTTTATCTGCTTACCTACACAATCAGAAAGTTATGAACTCATCACCCCATGTAAAACAGTGGCATTTCCCTTTAAAGCTCAAAATGATGCACGTCATTCTTGAAGTTTAGGACTTTTCAGTGTAAACTCATCTGAAAACAGATCCATTTTTACATTTGCAAGCAGCAAACATCCGTTTGTAATGTCTGAAATGTGTGCTATTAAGTTCAGAACGCTGACCACCACGGGGGGGGAAAAAAAAGATACAGCCACAAGATACTGATACTGGGTGAACATTTCATTATAATCCTCTCGCATTGTGTAATGGGCTGTGCTTTAGTCTGGCGCAGTCGTGTGATAAAAGCCGACTACTCCACAAAGACACAACTTTAATAGCTTTTAATTTTTTTCGCCGTTGAAGTCGGCAGAGCTCATTTTTCCGGAGGACAGAGCACTATTTTCATCAAGGTCATTCCTAAACCTAGATTACTCCCATTTTAAATGGTAACTGTGTTGCATCTAAAACTTACCCCCCACCCCCCACCCCCCTCCCCTTCCTTGAAACAGTAGAAGAGCTTTAATGATAAAAACCAGAGAGACAGAGAAGCTCTGCTCAAAGGAGGAATTAAAACAATTCTGAATAGCATGAGGGGAGCCACGGTGTTCCTTAACAAAGCTGCCCCCTCTTCAGTGCTCATTTGAAGTCAGCAGATAACGTTTCTCAGATGTCTCCCTCCCACGTGAGGGAGGGAGGGAAGCAGCGGGCTGCCTGTTGGATCCTGGCTGCAAGGGCCTCTGTTAACAAGGGGAACAAACTTCAACTTCATCTCCCACAGGGGCTCAAAGGAAGTCTGCACATCAAACACTGAGACTCATTTGGAGAGGAGCGATATTGGCCCGCTCTTGGGTGGGGATGGGAGTGGAGATGAGTTGAACAATCACACAAAGAAAAGAAAAGACGCCAAAGTCATCCTCTTCTTCAGTTTGTCGTGTGATAGCTGCTACAGTCTGCTACAGGTGATTACTGTTTTTTTCTCCTACACAGGAAGTTAGATAAACAACAAAAAAAAAAGGGTTGGACCACACACAAGCACACGTCTATTAAAAAAGCACTGGTAAGTCACACGCCACATGAAAAGATAGCACAATAAGCCTTTGGGGAATATTCCTCCCCTAATCTTTCAGTTTGCAGAGACTCCCATGATACTGTGCGCTGACAGCACCTTAATCCCAACTATGAGAGAAGTTTGGGAAGAAATCTCCCTGCCATTGTTGAAGTTTTCTCTCTCAAGCACGCATGCACTTAAATGCCTTCCCTCACACGATTGCGCACAGAAATTCCATGGCGAGACACACACACACACACACGGAAACTTTGCCAACATGCGAGGGAGGGGAGCTTCCAGAAACTCTTAAACCACATGGGCAAATCCAGCGGAGAGCTGTTTGGCAGGTACAGCCACTCCGCTTTCTTAATCTGCTTGATTTCAGACTCTCCCACAGAGGTCCGCCTCTCCTCTGGTTTGACAGGAGAGGAGAGGACATGGGAAGCATTAGGTAATAATCTGTCATGGAATAAAAGTATTGTTGCACTTTCCTCTTGTTTGAAAGTTTGACTTGCACTTCTGACTCCTGCCCAGTGGTGTGATGTAATATTTTG